ACACGCACTGATGCTTTCCCTGTCTCCCAAACTGTAATGCCAGGCACATCTGAATCTTTTCTGATATTACTTTTGCTAAAAAAAAAAAAATATATTGTTTACTACACAGACTCTGGCATCATAATTTTATTCAAGGGATGCTGAGGAAGGATAACCAGCAATACTTTGCACGCTCCACTTTGAAGATCTGAACATTTCTCACACGTGTCAATCAGTGTATTGTCTTTATATCCAATTACAGGCAGTAAATTCTGTCTCCACTAAAAGAGCTGGCAGTTTCTGCATCTGAAGATAACCATACGCATACATGCACCACAGGGAAATTCATTTGGCAAGGCTGGCTGTCCTGGTCTCTGGGACTAAATCATGCTTGCAGAAAAAGGTGACTTTCTACTTGTAGAGTTATTTAGCAGTACCAATAAAAAAACATGGCCTTGTTGTTCCAGGGGTTACATACCAATATATGTAAGACATGCTTATTCAACATAATTAGCCCAAAGACACCAAGTAAAACATTACTCTAAGTAGCCATGCTTTATTATCACTGCAGCTAGACTAATTAGCCCAAGCAGAGGGCTACGCTCACAGATAATACTGCTTCGATAGCTTAGCTATCCCGTTTAGTAAATGACCCTTCATACCTCTAAACACAACCACATTGTGAAATATTAAATAAAAGATACATATACCCAGAGGGTGGCAAGAGACAGTCTGCTGGTGTGATTTCAAACTTTGCCACTGGAATAGCAGCCTGTTACCCTTACAGAGACATCAACATCAATCTGAGCTTACAAAAAAAGAAGTAATGCAGTAATGTTGACATGCCAAAGGTCGAATTCCGTAACTTGGCAAACATGCAAGGTTTCCACCTCTTTGCAATAAGGGGCCAAAATCTGAAACTCGTTTTGGCCCTTCTGCTGTAGTTCAACATCGAACCCTCCTTCAAACCACCTTGCAATCAATTCTTTCTTTCTGACTTCCTTCCTCGCTTACTGATTTTTTTCACAGTCATCTCTGACACTTCCCTTGCACGTTTTTAGCTTTCAGATTTCCTCTGAGGACCAAGTGGCTCAAGTACAAGACCCTTATGCTCTAAATTATGCTGCTAGCAGAGCTAAAAAGGTCTGTTTTCCAGGCAACTTGTGGCAGTCGGATATAAGCCTGGGTGAATACTAAGGAAAACACTAAAACACCAGAATAGGTTAGAGCAATACTGTCTAGCTAAATCTATATAATTTATAAGGTCTCCTTACTACCTAAATAATAAATATCAACACCTGCATCTTTTGTGTTCTGAGGAGGTATAAACTAGTGATTTAATTTAAATAGTTAATGTGTAACAAACCATTTAGTAACTACAACTGTTTGTCCAACAAACTGAAAAAAAAAAAAAACCAAAACCAACCCAAGATAGAAACGGACACCTTGAGCTTGCAGGAAATAGCTGTATGAGTTTCGAGGACTTTTTTTTTTTTTAAGCTACTTTCATGGCCCTCCTGTAAAGCAAATATAATTTATCACTAATCCTGCAGAGAGAGCACAAAATTTTTTCCTCTCCCCCTCTGCAAAAAGCTGCCTTGTTTGTGTCTCTGCCCTATAACAAACAAGAAGATAAATGAGACATTTATGCCAAAGTAATCATTCTAAATCTGTTGTTTTGACCTCTAAGCTAAATTTTCTGCATTACATGCCAGTGGCTTAGATAAAACAGTACATTTTTTTCCCTGACAACTGAACCCTGTAACATATGCATAGCTCTGCTCAACAAATTGCTCTATCATTTATCTCTGAACATATGTGTATCAGGAAACACAGGGTGTAGGAAATTTGGCACTATGAAGCATCACATGCACCCCTCACCCCCTGTTCATTAGACCCTCTCGGTTTTCTTTATTGGTGAAACCAATGCACATTTGGACACAAATCCAACTACGAGCGAAATGAGAAATCTTCACTAAAATGAAAACAGCAGGACAGTGGATATAAATATCTGGAGGACAATATGCTTTACCTTAATAGGTAATTTTCTATATTTTATTTATTGGAACGGAGATATTCAGTGTTCCACCAGAACAGAAATTTTAGGATTGAAATCATGAACAACCCTGACTTCTCAAAGACAAGTTCATACTGGATGCGGTCCAAGACGAACTCCGCTTGACCTTAAAAGCACTACTTACTTTTCAGCTAGAAACCTGAGTTTCCACGAAGGCTGTTCAAGACGTGCTTTGCAGCTAAACAGACAACACCATCCGGACAAATATTTATTTTTCTGCCAGATAAAATGGTCTCATCATCTTTACTGCAGCAACCTAGATGACAGAAAGCCTGCAGAGAGGCACGCACTCTCCCTGGGTCAACAACAGGGCTGTGTGCCCTTCATCCCCGTAGCAGCTGATGGTCTGGGGGACTGAGAAATGACCTCGGTCTGCAAAAAGGGGGGATTTCCCTCGGGCACATTTCCTCCCCGGGGCATGGGGCAGGACGGCAGGTACCACCCCAGGCATCAGTTAAGCAGCTGCAATTCGAAGAGGCTTGATGAATCACACAAGCTCAACAGGCCAGGCGGAGAAGCCTTGGGGTGAGCAGGCCCCGCAGACCTGAGGGGCAGCGCAGGAAACCACCTCCCCCCCACGCTGGAGGTTTTCTTGGGAGCCTCGCCACGCGTGGAGGTGTGTGCCCACGAGGGAAACCCCACTGCCGCCGGTGCCTCCCTCCGGCACCGCTCTGTTTCGAGCGCTGGGAATCCCACGCCGCCCCACTCTCCATCTGTCCGCACTGTCCTGCCGGCCGCCACGGCGCCCAGCTGCCATCGTAGTGCGGCCGCTGCCCCCGTGGGAGGGACCCCAGCTTTCACGAGTGGCTACTCTCCTGCACCTAACAAGCCGAATTAGGCTCTCGCTTACACTCCTGTGAATTGCACTTCCCTTTTTTATATCATATGGAAGTTTAGTATTTTCTACTCTGAGAAATATTATTGTTCCCCACTTCCTTTTTTTTTTTTTTTAGCATTATTTTATTAGCTTTTTTGTATTTTCTTTCTACTTTCCATAACCCTTTGCCCCATCACATCTCCTCAGCCCATTTCTCAGGTACAGCCCGAGTAAGAGAGAGAAAATGATCTTCACTTTGCTAAATGTAGCTTCTTTCCATCTTTCTAAATCTCACCTGACACCCACACCCTTTCATCTTGCATTGGAAGCCTTTGGAAAGGGTTGCCTTTTAGACTAAGCAGCAAATAGCTATTCTTTCAGCCCTTACCAACCCACCTCATTAGAAATGGGATTAAGCTATTTTTTAGCCAAACACAAATAAATATAAACCAAAGTAACCACTGATACCTCTGCAACCACAAGTACCTCTCTGGCACTGCTCTCCAAATAAAGATGGCAAAAATTATTCTAAAAGGAGTATTGAAATTGCTTTTTTTCTGAAGCACAGTTGCACAGTAGTAATTTTAGAAATTTAAAACAGCTCAAACCTGCTGCTGGATTATTTTTAACAGGAGCTTTGTGTGCAAGGGCAGTTTGGAGGCTGCCCAGCCATGGAGGGCGAGAGGTCCCTGAAGCAAAGCCCTGGCTGCAGCCAGGAATCCTCTCTGCAGGGGAAGATTTTAAATTAATTTGTAAGAGAGGACAAAAGAGTAAGTTGCTGACTTATGAGCCTTTAGGAAACTGCCACCATGTGCAAACACCACTTTTTCTTTTCAGTTTTCCTGTCTCCGGTCAGATGACGGTGAAGTTCTCTTCTGAAAACATAGGTGAGGCAAGGCAGCTGGTATCAGACAGCTGGGAAATCAGCAGAGTTCAGGGTTCAGCTATTATTAAAAAGCATACACATCTTTCTATATTTATTTCCACTTTACAGCTCCAAATAAAACACATGCAGTCCTGATGAGTTTACAACTCTAAATACAACACAGGACAAAAACCCTAAGACTCATCTGGGAAAAACAAATTGATATATCCAAAAGCACCAGGAGGATTATTATTTTTTCTGCCACCACAACTACAGCTACATTTCTAAAAATACGCTAACTAGCCCTAGAGTTAAACATAACAAAATAGAACAAACACCGTCTTACAAACACAGCCACGATTTGAAATCGAGTGGCCTGTTCCTCACCCCAGCTCCATCACGGACCTCCTCAGAAAGCCATTTAAGGGGATCCATATATTGCAACATGCTCTACACTCCAGCAAACTTCAGATGTGGGTCTGACAAGCAGCAGAGAGCTCGGCGGGGCCAGCTGAACTATTTACCCTGCTTCTCAGGCAGATTCGCAGGGCTCATCATCACAGCTCCCAGCCTGATACCTCTGGCACAATAACTAGCTCCCTCCCTGCAGTAACCAGAAAGCAAAGCCACAGAGACACGTCTCTCATCTCGGGGCATGGCTTCATTTCTCCAGAGAAAGAAGCAAGATGTGTAACCTGGGTCATTCATGCACTTAGATGCTTTGATTGGAGGTCCCTCGGAAGGGCAAAATTATTTTAGCGAGTAGAAGTAATGCATGCAGTGAAAACACTGTGATGGGACTGCCTGTGCAGCAGCCCTGCCTTGGAAAGGTGTCCCTGGCGCCCGCAGAGCCCGCTGCCGATATTCACACCCTGCCTGCACCCTCGGCACGGTGCCGACCCGGCGGCTCTCCCTGGGACCTGCAGACTGAAAGGCCAGAACGGCTGTCAAGTCTGACATGACGAATAAGAAAACCTCAACACGTCAGAAAATGTAGCTGTAACTGAGAGGCAGAGGAATGAAAACAACCGTCCCCCATACCACAAGGCAGATGGCTGGCACAATACAAAATATCTTTTCTACGTGACTTGCAAGAATCCATTCAAAAACAAACAGCAACCACCATGACATACAGCTGCTGCAGACTCCAGCTGTCAGATAACTCAAGAGCCACCTCCTTTTTTTTCCCCGTTTACACCGGTAAGCCTGAATAGTTTGCCCCAGGGCCCTGCACGGGCAGCAGCCAGGCAGGGAGTACTCACTGCAGGCTCCGCAGGTGAAGCAGCCGTCATGGTAGAGGTTGCCCATGGCCTGGCAAGCCTGGTTTGCTCCATATACCCCCTTGCTGCACTTCACGCAGGTCCCTGGAAGAGAGAGAGAGAGACAGAGGTCAGAAGCAGGACCCGGAGGGGCAGCTGGGGTCACTGGCTGGGTGACTGCACCTGTAATTTGGCATGGTGGCTCAGCAGCTTAGGACAAGGCAGTTCACTGAAGCCACAAGACGTAGGTGACATCAGCGTCACTCACCCCGAGAGATGCTGTTAACACCGGTTACGACGGTCATCGAACCTCTTCAGACAAAGCCTTTTGCAAAAAGTTAAACTGCACAAGAACAGCCTTGTCTAACTACAGCGACATCTCCTTCCATCTCCCACCCTTCCCCACAACCTCTGTATACATTTAAAACCACATAAGGAGCCTCCCAAAAGCCTGGGTGGTAGTAAGTGGCGCTCAGGGCTGTTCACAGACCAATAGTTTCTTCTACTTATTGCATAAAGTAAGCTTGTTGGTTGCAACCGATGTGAGGAAAACACACCTTTTCAGTTAGCCCCTTTAAATCTTCGATTTCAGACCTCAGTCACATCTACTTGAGGCCCTAAGGATTTCCCACCAAAACAGGGCTGAACTACCTGATATACCTACCTCTCCTCTATCAGCCATGTCTGAACTGAGACCCAACATAGGCACTACCTACAGACCACATATTCTGCCCAGCAGTTCCTCTTACTTCTTGGAGGACAAGGCAAGAACAAAGTCAGTTTTAAGGAGAGGATGCCTCCTAGTAGCAGCAGACAAGGAGGGCTGACTCTCGGGCGGCCCATGGGGCAGAGGAGAGCCAGGAGAAGAGCACACGGTCAACTTCTGGCTATGAGCTGTCCCAAGTGCAATTCCAAGCTCCTCTTCTCACACCCAGGCTTTCCTGCCTAAAGACCAGGGTCAGTTCTGGAGCTCCAGAGGAGGGAGAAGACGGCCACACTCAGCTGTTCAGCTCACTGTCCTGCCAACACAGCCAAGCACATTTCCACCAGCACCCACCCTGGTGTGGGGCTCCAACCTGAAACCTGAGCCAGGCAGAGAGCGTAGGGTAAGGATTTCCACCTCACGAGGAAGCCTCCAGGACCCTCCAGGCACAGACCTACGTGATTGGGGCTGAGAACAGCGGCAACAGGGCAGATGTGTGGTGGTGGTGGTGGGGAGGGACTGCAGAGAGGAGACTTTAGCACCACAGGTTAACAAAGGGTGTTGTTGCGTGTTCACCTAGGGCTTCTCAAATCTCACCACATTTCCACATAAAACTACTTTGGTAACAGAGTAAGAAGCGATAGCTGAGTTTCATGCCCTTGATGGCATCCACTAGTAAGACCTGCTCCCTCCACCTTGCAGGGAGAAACACAGCAAGGCTGCCTAAAACCACTGCTAACGGCTGGGGAAAGAAAGTCCTTGTCCAAGGAAAATGACACATCAAGCCAGTTTACATACTTCAGGCACTGTGATTGCGACAGACTAGTTTTAAAGCAGCATCAGCCTTTAACTACTCCTAAATGAGCAACTTTAATCTGTGTTTAAGCAAATAATAAACACTGTACTGCCCAAAAGGGACAGCATGAAGGACAAACAGAAAACGTCCTTTGGTCTGTGGTCCACAACGACCCTGTGGATGTGACTTCACCTCCAGTTCTCTCCTTCTACTACTGCTCAGCCCCGTTCACCCCAGGTCTCAAACTCCCTGGGGCATGCACTGTCAGTCATGTCTCGCTCCTACTGACCCAAGACGAGGGACAGCATCATCTTGCTGGAGATCCTTAGTCATACTGTGGTTAACAAAACTTCACTTCTTTCAGGGCACTGCAAGCTCAGGAGTAATTGGAAAAGTCTGGTGAAAGTTAGGAAGAAACCCAACCTACTTACGACAGTGCTGAAAAGTAACTCCCAACTCCAGCAGCACCACGCTGGCACTCCCAGGGTGGTTAATGATTTCTTCCTGCACCAGATAGCTGCGGCCATCAGTTTTCACACTACGGGGACAAAAACGCTCAGAAGCCCTTTGCAGTCAGGCACACGTGGCTGCTGAAAAGCAGATCCCTCAACTTCCCAGTGCAGATCTGGTTCTGTGATGCAGCTGCCTGCCTGCATTCAACCAGCATGCTGAAAGCCATCCTAGCGCTGCTCCAAGACCCACTGCACTCAAAGCCAGAGTCCAAACTGACACAAACCTGGAGAGAATGCTGCAGAGAATAATTAGTTACTCTGTTTTGTCCAAATCTGACCTGAACTGAAATGCTAGCTTGGCTGCGGGCCCATCCCAGCACGCAGACTGGCACCAAGTTAGGAAAACTCCTGGTTCCTTTTGAACCAAGCAGATCTATCTCACTTATTGAAAGAAACATTTTAAGAAAGCAAAAGATAAATCATTCAGGCATTACAGAAGGAGGAAAAAAAAAAAAAAAAAAAAAAAGGACCAGAAAAGACAGGACAAAGATAAGAAAATTTGGCTTTTCAAATGGATGTGTTCTCCCAGGAATTAATACATTCAGCAGCACTATGAAATGCTGTGCAATCATCGGGCACAAGAGCTAGTGGCTACCTCACAAAATTCCCTCTGAATTATAGCAATGCAGAGCAGAAGTTTTGAGAGCAGAAAACCTGCCAATTTTGCTGCTGGAAACCTTCTTTCCATGACATTCACCAGGCTTTCGACAGAACCAAGGTATTTATTGCACTGCAAGTGCCGCATTTTTCCCTTCTCCGTGCCAGTGAGCAGCTGCTCCAGACAAAATCACCAACGTGCTCCGATTTCCTCCTTTCCAGAAAGCAGCCGGGGGACACTGAATATGGATGAGCAGCAAGAAGCAGGAGGCAGAAGGCACAGCAGCTGAGTGCAGGCACAGCGCACAGTAAAGATGCTGGCAGGCATCTAAAACCATGATAAAACACCCTAATGCAAATCCCATGGAGGGCAGAAATTGCCTCTGCTGCCTCCTGTCCATCCCATTTAAGCGTCCGAGCGTAGGCACAGCCCCTGTGGTTGCCCCAACGGGACAGATGATAGTCTGGCCACATCCTGCCCTGGCTCCCGCATCCGTACCCAAACCTCCCTCTGCCTCCTGTCACTCGGCTGCCCCCACCATCCTTCCTCCTTCCTTTCAGTACATGCTCCATTTCATCCCCCAATTAATCCTTTTATTCACTTCTTTACATATTTAGGCCCTTAAAACATGGAAATTAAAGTCACAGAATGAAAGGGCTTTTAAAATAAATTGACAATGTTGTCTGTAAAAACTATAATGTGCTAAATTACCCAACTACGTAATAACCAGCCATGCTGTAAATATTTATAGATGTCCTGTGGCAAGGCTGACAACTGAAAAATGGCATTATGGCAAAACTGTGTATAGTTTATGTTTTCACTTGTATCTGCTAAATCTTACTTGAAAGCCAAATAAATCTCACTAGTAATTGGAATTATTCTTGAAATATATCTTTGCTTCCTCCAAATACAATACTGTGAAGTATTTTAAGCAACATAATTGAGCCTTCACCTCTGACTCTTGTCACACCTGGCCTGAAAGAAGAAAAAAAAAAAAATGTGAGTTTTATTGATTTTTCCTTTCCACTTTTTTTTTTTCTCCCCCCATTCACTTCCTGCTGCCACAATGATCCTGTTCTTTCAGCTTAGGCTACGCAAGGAAAAAGCGATACCTGTTGCTGACAGCGGCCAGCCACTGAGCTCGGCAACACGTGTGCGAAGCCAGCCTGATGGAAGGCAGCGCAGCCCAGGCCACATCCCACCCCGGCCCGCTGCAAAACGGGCTGCGTGCCCTGCTCCACGCCAGCTCCGATCACTATTTCCCGAAACAGTGCTGAGCGTGCTTTCTGCTAGCCAGGGCGTAGAGTTAAAATGTCAGCAGCATCAGTCCAGCCTCACATGCCGCTGGCACTAGTCAGCAGCTCTGGGTAATTTTCTTGGCATAGAGCAGCTTTTAGCAAAAACTTCTGTCCTCGGCTCGAAGCAGGCAGATCCTGAGCAGCCATGACCCAGCAAGATGCCCGATTCCCGCACTCGGTTACTTTGCTGCACGTCATGAACACTTATGCAAGTACCGATCTGAGCAGATAGCCCCTCTGAAATTACATCTTTTAACCTCCGACATTATTAAGGTGTTATTAAGGAAAAATGAAAGGTTTCTCTCTCGCCACCAGGATGACAAACCCAAAGCCCCACACATGCACAGCGCTGGTAAAATCACGCTCGAACGCACCGGCAGAATGGTAGCCAGATTTGGAAAGGGAAAGGGATGGAAATTGCTGATTTCGGCTCGATTTCTGCCGGCAGGGCAGCCGGGCCCCGGATAACAAAGAGATCTCTGTTCCCTTTCGCATCATGCAGCAAGCAACCGCCCGCGCTGCAGCTGAGCGCCTGAACAAAGGGACCTTTGGGGCAGAGCTGGGACCGAAAACATGCCCTGTAAGCCACTTCCCGGCGCTTGCCGCCCTCCATCGCGGCACTGCAAACCAGGAGGGCAGCCACCGGGAACAGCCTCGGCTCACAAGGTCAGGCAGGTCTGATGCAAACCTCAAGGGCTGTCAGAAATTAACGTGAATCCGGTGCTCAGTATGAAATGTCAGTCCCACCCTCGAGGTTCAACAAGTGCATTTCCATTTACCGCTGGACTCAAAGCCTTTAGTGGCATTTTTTTCCTCTGAGCGTTGCTATGTCACTCTTACCAGAAGGAGCTCAGTTACTTACTATATCCCACTCCCAGCATTTCCACAAGCCAGACATCATCTACCTACAAACCAAGAATACAGTTGTGGGTTTTTCCAGCCACATCCCCCTTCTCAGCGACATCCCGGACAGTCAAGCCCTCCTGCATGTGCTCTTGGTTGCGTTTGCTAAGACCGTTGCTTAATTTTGGAGGGCCAAATGTGATGGTGTGCTGCTTCGGTAGGGAGAATTCCTTGCCATGTCAATGTGGTCCAAGATAAGAGGAATTCAGCAGCAGGATGATTCTGGTGGGGTTGGTCTATGTATGTAGCTAATCCAGAAACAGCACTTGGCAGAGTAAGTCTGTCCTGCCCCTTC